CTTACATAGTATGTTTTCCAAGCACATCCCATGCTGCAAGATGGAAGTTATGGATGTCTGATCCACTCAACAGCAATTGCATCACTTTTTCCCTTTACTTCAGAATTTATTGAATCTAAACCATACCTAGTGTTTTGTTGTGTAAATTTTTAATGTTTTTTTTCTTCTTGTAACTCCTTTTGAGTGAATCTGTATAGTTAAACATTTACAGTTTTTTCTTCTCTTAAAACAGAAGTTACTTTTGTTATTATCTTTCAACTGGATGTAACTGAAATTTTTTATTCTTGAAGGTTCTGCAAAATTATGTCTTCCCTATCAGTCTTCAGTRTTCTTCCTCCATAACCTGACAGACTTCTGATGCCCGTTTCTTGACTTAGCACCAAGTGGTGTTTTTTTGCTTTCTCAGTCAGTACCTGTGTTGCAAAGCATTTTACTAAGCTGGTTTGTGAGGCTTCTTGCTTTGCTTCTTCCTTTCAAAAGGGAATAATAAAATTGCAAGATACATTTGGAAGAAGTTACCTGAAAACTCTCATGTAACATTGAATCTGCTTTTATAATGTGATCTTTCATAAATAAGTTTTAAGCAGGATGTGATGAGGCTTATTCAGTGGATCCATGCGAGCAAGACTGGGTTTTTTTTGCCCAGTTGTAARTTTGTCCCAGAAATGCTGTTTTAGGGGAAAGAAAACAGTTGCACATTGAATTTGATCAACAGTTTTGTTTTGACTTAGCAACATGTGAAGATCAAAGAATTTCAAATGCATGAAAATTGAATACCAACTTTCAGGGGGTGATGGGTGGAGATAATGGTCTAAGTGCATTGCGAGATAAACTGTGCAGGTGATGAAATACACTTTATTAGAAATTATGCTAATATGACTGGGTAAACATTGATATGGGGTGTACCATGGAGTTTCTGAAGGTTAGTGCAACAACTAGARAGAAGACTGGTTTAGTTCCTGAGGAGAGGGCAGCATGCAGTGGTGGAAGATAAAAGAGAAGGGATTTCTCAGTGCAAGAAGGACTAGGAAGGGTTATAATTTATATTGTAAAATCTTTGGGAAGTGCCATTTTAATTACTGATTTGAAATCTGCTAGTGAATGAATAGAGGAAGAAATGTAGAGGTTCTGTTTCAATAGAATGAACTAATGGGTATTGACCCAAGACAAATCAATTAAAATTGATTTCTCACAAGGGTCAGCACTTYTATTATTATTAAGCATAGTTTATTATTCAATTTGAATGTCCAGGTTAGCACAGAAGGCAATTAAATCCTCAGAAAAAATTGGAGTCTGATATTTAAGTGTTTTTAATGTGGTATCCAAAATTAGAGGGCATGACAACCTTGGCTGTCTCTTTTGTGTGTAAGATTGGGTATTCATGAAGATATTCAGTATTATTATCATTGAGTGTTACCTCAGTTCCTTGGAAAAAAGTTACATTTGAGATGATGTTCTCAGAACCATTACTTTGAGTGCTGAACTTTTTGTATTTTTCTTCTGTAAATCAGTTTCAAGTCTGCTGGTTTTTATTTTTCAGCACATTTTTTCTTTTGAAGATATRAATTGGAAAAATTACTTCCACTGACCCAAACTAACAAAATTTACTTCTTATCTTAAGATTGCAACCATAACATAAGCTTCTGTAAGCTACCCAAGTTGCTGATATTTGTCCTCTTTCTGTCTTTCCTGGATGGAGAGAAGTATCAATTTTCTTCATTTAGCATGACAGCTCTTCAGAAGACTTGAAAAATGAGTTAGTTCCAAATCCTCATTAGACAATCACTTTATTTAAGACTCCTGTGTCTTTCTCTTTCCTTGTGGTTTATGCATATACGTGGTCCTTTTGACTGGGCTTTTAAGTGAAAAAATYTAGAGGAGCAAGGCATCTCAACACTTGATTGATGTATGTGTTACTGTGGTCTTTGACAAGAAGAGTAAGCAAGAGAAAATGCTCTGTAACTGTTCTAAGCAATACTACCTCATGATGAACGTGCAGGCAGACTTCTTTAAACCTGTGCTCCTTATTCTTTTAAGCACTGACATAGACACTTTATTAGAAACTTGTAAACTTGGCCAAAGGTGTACCTTTTCAAGGAGGCCACAAAAGACATCTCCCTGGAGCTGACATTCTCTCTTTTTTTCCATTCCTTTAAAATTTAAAATCTTCTAGTTCTGGTGTTAGAATTTCTAGAGCTTCCCAGTGAAGTGGAAATTGGCCTGACTAGGCTTTTCATGTGGTGTCTGTGAGTGTGCTTGCACTCATGTGGATGTGTTGGGGTTTTTCCCCTATGGAGATGGAGGGATTTTGAATCATATTCATTACATTGRGAAAGGTTTAATCCACTTACTTGTTTGCCTAAGTTATAAGCAATAGATTTTTATAATACAAAGTTTTAGGTTATAGTGACTATTCAGACCCAATTGTTTCTCTGTGCTTATGATTATGCAAATATTTTTCTGTCAAAAATTATTGGTATCCTAATTTTTCAATAAATGTGACAGATCTAGATTAGATGAAAAGAAATCTCAATGGAAAGAGACTGCCTACATTAGAGCAYATGGTAGAAAACTTAATAACAGCCTGGCACTTGCATTCTCTATGAGGCTGGGGAATTAAAAATGTAAAAACACAACATTTCTCACGGGTTATGGCAATAGCACAATGAAAGCATGTTRTTTAGATTAGTCATGTACAAAAACTCAGCAGGATTCTATAGGAGTCTGTCTCTAAGTAAACTTTATGAAAAGTCAGTCATGCTTTTTTTGATGGCTTCCTTATCCATCTTCTTTCTATATATAGACTCGGCATTCCAAGCATGCCAATTATGTCTCTCTAGAGGAAGGGTGTTTATTAGAATTTGACCTCAAAATGGTCAAAAGGGCAACTGCATCTCATTTTAAATGTGGTCAAAATCAAATYCTGAACATCTGAAAGTCCTCTGAAATAGTGTTGTACTGTTCTACTTCATGTCTTCTTTCTTGCGTCCAGGTAGAGTATGTTCAGATGTAAGCTTTACATTGTTAAGCTGCTCCYTTTCTAAAGTGGGACTAACTGGCAGTGGTCTTTCTCCTAACCCTGAAATTCCTTAAACCCAGATTTCTTAGTATGTTCAATTGGTAAGTGAACAGCTGTGAAGTCAGGTGTCTATGAAGAGAATTCGGTGACAATGTGGTATTTGACAAGATGCTCAGCCTTACCTGCCTGTACACGTTTGTAGCACTGTAGCTTAGATGTCTCTAAAAAGTTGAATGATCAATAGGAATAACAACAAGCTGCCATGGGATGTTATCTACTGTCTTGTGTGGTTTTATGGAAACCTGTGGTCCTTTGAAGTTTGCAGCTAGGGTAGTCAAGTTCTTGAGGATGTTTGGTTTTGCTAAGTCCTGGCTCTGTTTGGCCTACTGTGAAACAAAATTATCAAAGGCCACTTCACTTAGACTGCTTGAATTTCTGGTGGAAAGGTCCTCTGGTCCCTTTGATAGATGCTTCATCTTCAATGGCCAGAATGCCTTTTCTCCATTCTAGGCTGTCTGAAACAGTGATGAACAGGAATTTGTGCCTTTGACACTTTAACTGGTCATGGAGATAAATCTGAAATGAGAGTGAGGGGAAGTTGTGTGGCTTTTTGTCTTYTTYTTWTTTTTTTTYYYYTTTTTTGAGCTTGCTACATAGAATTTCTGTAAGCTATTGGCAGTTCCTCCACAGTGCTGCATTCTTTGGCCTTCCTGATGTTTTGAAGGGCTTGTGGTGACTTCTTGTCMTTCGCTCTGTTGTTCTGGTTGTTTGCTGAATTTCTTCAATTTAAATAATCTTTTAAAGTCTTTTCTCATGGCCATCATCAAAAAGGAAATTTTGAACCCAGTCTTGAAAAGATCCGGCTTTGAGGTTGTACAACACATTTTATACTCTAATCTGTTTCTGGCAAGTTTTCACACTTTCGGAATATTTTAGGAAATTCATGCAGGCTAGCAGTAATTAAAAGAATAAATGCTTTGAATACATTGAATGAATACAGCATGAATACATTTTCACACAAGTCAGATTCTTGRCAATGAAGAAAAACTGAAGTCCTTTTTCCCATTTGCTCAAAACAGTTGTAGATCAAAGTTCAGATACAGACTGGACAGACTGGTAAGGAATTAACACCATCAGTTGCTACTGAACACAACAGTGATGATAGAGCTTTTGGCTCAGAAGTGATGATAGACCTTTTGGCTCACAARTTCAAAAACCACTCCTTAGTGAGTGCTGGGAGCATGTGCTGGTGAAGCACCATGCTGTGCGTGCCCATGAACTTCTGCAAAATCTTTTGCTTTCTGTAGTTGCCAGTGCAGTACTGGGCTCGGTTGATCTTTATTAACTGTAACCATTTTTTATGTCATGTCACTTGGTGCTGTCACTGTACTTTAGTCCTTACTGGGTATGATGAKTATGATGCCACTTGGAAAATTCAGTCTGGTTATTTTCTTTCCTCCCCACCTATGATGTGTTCATTTTGATTGCCTGTGAAGAGGGAACTGGTTAACTCTGGTTGGCTTATGAGGAAACATTATTTTGACCAAGTGAACATTTTCAGTTGTAAAATATTACAGGTTCGGAGTTTAGCCCTGCATCACTTTGTTATAGGAGATAGGTTAATAAAGGATTTGTTATTTATATGAATATCTATTTTTGATGTTTATGTATTTGAGCTGATTTTATTTTTAATTCAGTAATGAAAAAGAAAGCTTTTCTGTACAACTATAATCAGAAACATTTCCAGATACTTTACTGCATGGGTTCTTACTGATACATGCATTGCAGAGAGCTTCTTTATATTCAAAAAAGTTCTTCACTTGACTTCTGCCTTTCTGTAGAGATCCAGAATAGGCTTCCCAATTGTAATTTCTTTTGTCCAAGTGTTTTACATATTATGATGATATGTTCTCATTAGTCATRTAACGATAAGAGTTTTAGTAAACACAATTTCTTTTTGTCTTGTTTTGTCTTCTTGCAGGCACCAAGTATAGATGAAAAAGTAGATCTCCACTTTATTGCATTAGTTAATGTAGGTGGTCATCTCTATGAATTGGGTAAGAATACCTTTTATCTGCTCTCTCCATTTGTTTGAAACAAATGAAAGAATGATGCTGTTACCTGCCGAAGTTTCAGAAAGATTTTTTGATGTTATGTAGGGTTTAGGTTCTTTTCAGCTGCATCTTAGGGAGCTGGGGATTTCTGTCAAACRAATGCAGCCTTCTTCCCATTTGCTTTTTTCTGCTTCCCTCAACTCCCTCCTGTTAAGATAAAATGGTACATAATACTAGACTGTCTCAAAACTTCTGTTGGCAGGAAGCAAGAAAAATGGATGAAACACTCAAAATTTCACAGGAAATTTCTTATATTTAGGTTCCTGAATTGCTTGTGGAAGTGTTAAATTAACTGTTGCCACTTCAGAAATAGTAGCTATATTATTATGATACAGTTTAAACTCAAAATATGTAGTCAGGGTACTAAGAGGTATTACTGTTCTACAACTTCTTTGTAGTAGTCTGGTGATTTTTTCCTCTTCTTTTCATGTCAATAGACAGTTAACTGTACAACAGTAGTCTTTATTTTCTGAAATACAGCTATTTTTCCCCCTTCAGCTTGTGCAGCACTTAGTTTTGCTCAGATATTCTCTAATGACTCCAATCTTTAYGTTGCTGGGCAACTAGGTTTTGCTGCAGGCTCCTCAGAAAACCAGCAAGTAGATCAGCTTTTAAAAACTGCAAGTCACTGGTCTATCCTAACGTAGTTTTTATAGTATATATGGTTAAAATATTTTCATCTTTTGAAAATCAGCATGTAATTAAGCCATGCCCTTAAGAGGTGATAACTAATCAAAACATGGGGCATAAGCAGTATATAAAAAGTTCTTATGTTAAGTTGATCTTTTATATTTTATGATGCTGTGTGTCTGTCAGTGGACTAGATGAAAAAGGTAAGTATTGTAGACAGCAGAAGAAATATTTTATGACTCTAAATTTCAAGGCATAATGGATGGCTTGCTCTTCTTTTGGTTGTGTGCTGTTATGTCCACGATACATTTTCATTGTCCATTAATTTATGCTGCTTAAAAAGCAGACCACACACTATGATGATTGTGTTTACCTGYAGGTATGATGCAAGAGAAAACCCATTTGAATTTTTTCTTAAAATAAAAAACAAATTAGAAAAAGAAGGGGCATTTTGCTCTGCTATAGAGTGGAATGCCAACAGTACCATTTCTTTTGTTCTTAAAATAACCTCTCTGTACAAAAAAAAAAAAAAAAAAAAAAAAAAAAAAAAAAGGAAAATGGAAGAAGGTTTTTCAGTTGATTCACTGGCTTCAGACAGTGTGGGCAGCATGTGGGCTTTGGCATGCAGAAAATGCTAAGGAAGCACATGGATATTAAATGTTTATGATGTTTTTGCCATAGAAAATATGTTATTTATAGGCATAAGAAATTAAAATGTTATTCTGCCAATATGGACATTAAAAAAAGCCCAAAAATTGAGGTAAACTTAGCTTGCAACAGTGAAGGGCATTCAGTTCTGTTTCCCTGGCATTTTCTGAGGGTTTTGCTTGTATCTTCAGCCACCGTAGCTACAGTAATGAACAATGTCTTGTTCATGTAAATCCAAAAGTTTTCTAGCATCGAATCTATTTTTAGTTATGTATTTTGGAGGTATTGTCAATTTTGATGGCAACTTTGGGGAGGAAGAAGTCTTTTACAGGGAAGATAGGTCCAAAAGTGATTTTGGCCTAGCAAATAGTTAGGATACCCTGACATAGGTTTTCATACTGTTAACTCTTTGCAAGTAACCTGAAGCATATTTATATGAATGAAATTATTTTTAAATGCTGAGAATGATAATATTATTAGGGTAAGAAGGTAAGAAAAAAATACTTAYAGCATCCCTTTTTAAATGCTGTGAAAGTACATAATACTTAGAGCTATTGGATTTGTTTGATAATTTATTTTAAATGACAGAARCATTTTCAGTGATGCCAGACTCTTCAGACTGATGGGTTTGTTACTCTGTTCTGATGTGGAGTCCCTGATCATGGCTGTCAAACACCACAGACATAAACCGTTCTGTATGCGTTAATCCATTAAGCGTAATTTTTCTCCTCTACTTGAAAAACTGAGGTACTACACCAGCACTAAAACAGCAGCAACTTACAGCCCTGAAATCAGTTCTCAAATATTAAAAAATACTTCATTGTTTTGATTAGGTCTTTTATAAAAGTAAAAGATTGCATAAAGTGATACTGATAGAAACAGCCATTAGTGGAGGAGAGACCAGGGAACAACTAGCTAGCTGCATGTGTGACTTTTACGAAAAATGAGATAACATTTTTGAGGTGAAGTACAAAAATCTGTTCAAATAGTTTTAACTGCAAAAATGAAGCTTTTTTTTTTTATAAATGTGTTGTTCAATCCCACTTTGTCTTTCAACAGATGGGCGCAAGCCATTTCCAATAAACCATGGGGAAACCAGTGACGATTCTTTTTTAGAGGTAGGGATAGAGAACCTTCTTGAATGGTGTTATACAAAATCCTTGTTGTATTTCCACAAAATTTATTAAACAGATATATGAAAATACCTATACAAGTCTAGCTGTATTTATGGTTGCATGAGGAATASATGGGATGTGGAAAGTGGGATGGTGAGAGAAGATAAGGTTTACTCAGTTTTGTAAAGAGATATTTTGGAACACTTCTTTTATGGCACTGGATGACATAGAGTATCGTAACATAAGAAATCCCAGAAGGGTTGACTATAACATAAGATCAGACTGACTTGTCTTCTGTGTTTACATTTTCATATTCCACTGCTGTGTTTAAATAGCACATCTAACAAGAAGTTATTAGATTGAAAACTTAAAATTTTTTATTCTCTTACCTTTGGTTTAGTTATAGTTGATGGTATCGTACCAGACCAGAAATTGATTTCCTTTGTGACCCTTGCTAATAATCATTCTTCTCCACTTTCTCAGCTTCTTTTGAATGTTTCTTTGTGTCATGAGCTGAGAAATTAATTGGGAAGGGATACACTGAGTTGGGAGGATAAACTGCCATCCCCACAGAATGATTTGAAGTTGAAGTTGGGATGCATACATTTGACTTTTATGATATCCAGACTGGATTAGCATTACAAAAGGAAGAAATCAAAGAAACTAAAACAAACAAAACCCAAAATGATTTTATGGTTCAGAAGCATAGACTAATGTCTGTTAAGTTTGCAAACAATTTGTGCTTGCGTGGACAGGGGAAGAAAGCAGATAAAGCTTTCCTTATTTCATATGTGGCTTTTTCCTTCATTACTGATAACATGTGTTCTCCAGATTGCACCCTAAAGCTAGATGAAGGAATTACTTAAAATCTTTCAGTTACCCCACCCATCTTAGATTCATTTTGAAACAAAGGAAAAAAATCCGAATGCAGCAGTACTAGTTAGGGAAAACTTCAGAGATGCATTTAGAAAGTCAGACAAGCAACACATCTGCTGCCCAAAGTAATATTCAGTCACAAAAATCATCATTGCTAAGGTCCTGCATAAAACTTTTGCTCTTTTAGGCTGCCCATATGAGCACTGTAAGTAATTTTGAACAGTGGTAACTCACATCGGAAGTACAGTTTATGTAGATTGGTCGCACTGTTTAGGAAGCCTTTATGGAAAAGTCAAGTTTGAGCATAGTTTGGAAAAAGTATGTCATCATATTTGTTTGGGTTTTTTGTAATTAGTATGATTTACATTGTTTTTAATTTTGTATTTTTTGTACTATTTTTCCCTAGGATGCAATAGAAGTCTGCAAGAAATTCATGGAACGTGACCCAGAAGAATTAAGATTTAATGCAATTGCACTGTCTGCAGCTTAAAAGCCTTTTCCAGTGAGGCTACTCTATTGCAATGTATTGTAAGAATAAAACTGTTGCCATATGTTAATAGTACAAATTTTGATACTTCCCTAACACGTTGACTAATTGTAGCATACGTGAAATAAACTTTTCATTTGTCCTTGCTATATTTTGCTGCTTGTTCCTACARCAACTTTGGGTATTTCTATACAGGCATGCATTTTGTGCAAGATTTCTATGTGATGGGTTTTTTCCCTTCCACCCCCTTAAAAGTTTTGAGAATTACTGTCTGTGATATTTTCTTGTAATAATGATGAGCCACTTCAGAGCAGGATTATCATTTGTATCATGCACAGGTAGCATTCTGAGTGGAATATGCGGTATGATAATGGGTGAAAACTTAGAATATGAGGCTATCTCCATCTTTTATTTATAATGGTGCAAGAGTATTATAAGAACTTCTTCAGGTGACTCAAATGACAAAGACRTTTTTTCAGTGCATTATTTATAAATAAATATATGGAAGGAAAAGGCAGAAAAAGGACTATTCTTACTGTTGGTGAGCACTAACATCTAAAAATTACCTTMATGTTTACATTTTGAATAAAACTTCACTTTGTTTCTCAAGTCTAATAATGTTAATAAATTGTCAAGAAACTTTAGTTAAACCAATATTTGTTATTTGTATATGTGGAAAAACAATGTGGATTTTTGTTTCCAGAAAAGGCACACTAACTAGTTCAAATGGTAAGACTGTCGAAGGCACACACAGGTGAATACAACTATGTGAAGTACCTCACCTAACTGAAATAAATGATAGAAAAATKATCATTGTTGTAAAGAAGTTTTGTTTAACAACAGAAACAGACTGTAGATTTCAAGGTAGGCATGATGGTCATATACTTTTCTCCCCTGTAAGAATATCTATATTAAGTTTGTTTGTTTTAAGTTTTAAGTTAAGGTGGCATTACTGAGTGGTATGTGATACCCTTACCCTGTGCCATCCCTCCCACTCCACCCACTGCTCTTAAGGTAGTGTTGACCAATTTCCATTAGTAACATTGTGGTTGTTTTGSTTTGGGTTGGGGTTTTTTGGCTAAGCAGTCTTAACACTTTAGGATTCTTGTGAAGGTTTGTTTGGGTTAATATGAATATTTTCAGAAAAATATTCCTTATTCATTCCTTTGAAGTAGAATAATTTAGGTTTGCTTCCAATCAAATACACTGCCAGAGGAAACTGRACCCTCTGTGTCCCAGAGGGTGCTTTCATTCTCTATCAATTGTCATTGCAGGGAAAATAAATGGGGTTATACCAGAAGCAGTTTGGCAGACTTTCCTTCTTTATAGAAAAGAAAGAGGTCTGGGATCCTGTCTTATCACTTACGAACATCTCTTGTGCTCTAAAGAAAAASTTGGAGTCTCTGTCTAAAACATGTCACCTGGAGAGTCCAGTAACAACAACAGTCTGTTTTCTATAAGTCAGCTGGTTGGAAAACCGAGGGAGAAGAAATTACACTTATGACCTTCTATTTTTGAAGCTTTTACTTTTTCACCGCAGTAAAATGCAGTATCATTAAGGCTTTCTTTATGTTGCCATGCTCATTAGTAACACCCTGAAACTTGCTTCTAAATAAAAATAAGRGGCTTTAATATCCAAGCCAGCTCTGTTGTCTTCTTGATAGTACCAGAAAAATGAAATAAAGCTTGTCACCATTGAAATGGGATATTGTGTATTTTAAGCTAATGGTGACTTGGGAGGATTGAATTTCAAGTAAGCTATAGTTAATATACATATTGCCCTTTTAGGATAGGGAGGAGGGTGAGGAAACAAGTGCAGCTCAAAGCTGTTAAATGGGCTACATCATGTGTCTATTTTAGAGAAATGGTCTCACCATATATGCTCTTCAATGTTCAGAAGATTTCAGTGTGTTGAAGTAATAAACKGATGGCCTCTGACTGCAAAATCCCTTCAGAACTGGAGCTCCTTGTTGAGTACAAGAACTGACCAGACAAATGCAGGACAAAGGMTAATCAGGTTAGAATAGTAAATTTTGAGTCGGATTTTCTGTGGTCATGTTGAAAAATGCATCTTGATTCTTAAGTAAAAGCTTATRAATAAGAGTTCTTMRTATTTTGGCAATATTGTAGTTTCGYTTAGYATCTTCTACATAGTCTTCAACTGTGTTCTGCAGGGTAAGGTTTCCCACTGCTTCATCTTCGGTGTTAATTTTTTGTTTATTAATATGTTAGATGGTACACTTTAGTGAACACTGCTTTGAGATGCCAAAGGAAGAGCAATGCACCAGTTTTTATGCTGAACTGTATCTGCTTACTGYGTGGTCCCTTGCTGTAAATTGTGAAAGGCTGCACTGCAGAAATACCACCTCACCTGACATGTACAATTTAAAGAGCCTTCCAGAGTTCGTGACACCACACTTTGGCACAGGCTTTGGTGACCATCTTGAGGGGCACAGGAAATAAAGGGATCAAAAGGCTGCTGGAATAGCTTGACACAACCTGTATAACATGGAGAGAAGTGAGGTATGAACAGTTGGCTGACTTGTAAAATCAAGCAAGATCCCGATTAGAAGCTGATAAGCCCTGAAGATTCCATGGTGCTTTTGGCTCTGTGATGGCTGCATCACCACCTGAGCTATACAATCTGCTTATTAGTTCAAGCTCTGTGGGAAAATAACACTATTTTCTAACTTGTGCAGCCCTGCCAAAAGCCTCRTGAACTTTGTGTGGAGGAGCATGGCTTGGCCACGGGCATGTGGTGCCAGGAAATCCCTCTTCAGCTTCTGCAGTCAGGGCTGGCTGTACGTATCTTCTTAAGGAAATAGTGTGTATGGGACTGAAGAGATGATGCATCCTCTGCACTTAAAATTAATAATTTTAGCTGAGTGGAGCTGGTGTGCTATTAAGCACTCAGGATTGTTCAAGCTCTTTTAAGTATATTGKTGCAAGTTTTCTCACGTTATTTACAGGCATTTTGTTAAACCATAAGAAWTTAATAACCACTACAGTGCCCTTCCAATAATGGATGCATGATTCAGTTAGGGGAAGAAAAAAGTTGTTTTCTGACATTGAAATGTATGTTTTGGAAAATAAGGACACTTAACAACCCACATTTACAAAATAAATGTCATTTTTTCCTTGAAGGAAGAAGCCTGCCTTGGTAGAAAATATTATTGTGTCAAATATTTTAGGAACTCTCCTTGAAAAGAATATGACGTAAACTTTTGCTTTATTTAAGAGCACACACTTTGAAAGGGTTTATTTTTGTCAAGTAGAACAGTATTACATTTGCTACTTTTGACAGCAACAATTAGCAGTCATATCTGGTATATGTTATCTTCCTCTGATCAAGAACTGGTGACTTACATTGTTAGTACAAAGGAATAATAAACTATTTTGGTTGCTCAGACTTACATAGATAATTTAGCTGTGACAGTTGATTTAAAATTCACTTTGAGAATGAGATTTACATGTTGAAACTTCTTTTTACTTCATGAATAACTTCGACTTGAAAGTTGCAATCCGTGCAGTCTACTTAAATACTTAATCAAATTACATGATTACTCAAATTACTTGAATTACTTGATCTAAAACATTAAACACTTCMTTTGTAAGAAAAGTGATTTGATTTGTCACGTGAAATAAAGCAACCAGAAATAAATGAGAAATGTGAATTTTTTTTAAACATGACCTTTTTTGAAGCCTGTTTTCTAGAATTCCTAGTTACCTTTTCCTACTTAGGGACAAGCATTGTATTTTTAGATTAGGTGGAAGACCTTAAAAATTGGAAAAAGGCTGCTGTAGTTCTCCAGAAAAATGTTTGGTAACCTCAGGTAATGCAAACTGATGTCAGCCAGCWGCAGCAGCTGATACATGCTTTATTTAGACATTTTTAACCTTTGTAATCATGGCTGTTAAATAGTGAGATGAGAGGGTTGTTTTCTGAAGTTCAGGCTTCCCTGAGAAGCTTTCCCCCAAGAAAAATGCAGATCCTTCGTGTGTATTTGGTCTTGTGGCTRATCTGGCTTGGAGCAGGAAAAGAAGAGTAGGAAAAAACCTTCAAAATTACAGCTTTGAATATCATACTGTTCCTTGCTGGCTCGATAGCATGTCTATGCATTTATAGCTTTAATAAATGTCAAACATCGCCTGTGGATCTCATTTCAGCCAGAGTCACTGTGTTTTTCTTCCTGTGTGTAACACCAGCAACCCTGAATTCCATATACTGCAGAAACTGATGGCTAATAGCATCTTGGTTTGTCTAMAATTCTTCTTCCCTATTCTAAGCAAGTTTTTTATAGAGCCGAAATAAGATGTGTTCCCAAGTAAACATCTCAGGAGAAGCGAATTTGTGTGTAGTACAAATTTTAAGTTTTCTTTTCTTGTAGTCCTTCAAAAATGACATATGTTCTGCCATGGGCTATAAAAGCAAAAGATATGTGCAGCAATTCAGTTTTACTTACAGAGAAGAAGGAGAACAAAAAAAATACTAGAAAAAGTTCAAGTAGGAAAATATCATAGAATCATGAATGTTGAAAAAGACCTCTAAGCTCAACTGTTAAATTAGCATTGCCATAGTCACTACTAACCCGTGTCCCCAAGTAGCACATCCACACATTTTGAATACTTCCAGGGATGGCAATTCCCCTATATCCCTGGGCAGCTTGTGGCAATGCCTGACTGTGCTTGCATTGAAGAAATTTTTCCTTATATCCAGTCCAAACCTCCCATGGTGCATCTTGAGACCATTTCCCCTTGTCCTGTTGTTTGTTACCTGGGAGAAGAGACTGAGCTCTACCTCACCACAGCCTCCTTTCAGGTAGTTTTAGAGAGCTTAGATACAATGTCAAAATGAAATCTAGTACTCTAAAAATCCCAAACAAACCAAAGCCAAAACTCAACAAGATAATGCTACGGATTGGTATTAGAGAAAATGGCTCTTCCCGATATTTGACTTCCCTGCTTAGCACTGCTTCACCCCTGTACTGGAAAGAAGGATTTCACAGTGTTCAGTCAGCACACCAAGTGCATCCTGCCTCCCGTGCTTCGGGGGATGAAGGTGGACGACCCTTTGCTGCAGCACAGCATGATCCCAACCTGCCGCACTTTAGTGGTCATCGCAGTGGACAGAGCTCAGCACAGCTCACCCCCAGGCGCAAGGCCAAGGCATACCGAGACCGGCCTTTAGCTCTGAGCCTGGGAGAGCGTGTGGRGTGGAGAAGCCGCAAAGAATCTGTTGCAATGTGCCGGGGACAGGGACACGACTGAAACGGAGCAATGGGCGCTAGCGTGGGCACTGTGAGCTGAACCAGAGATGATGCCAACGGGGCTGGGGAGGGAAGCATGGAATCCATGTGGCACCATCTCAGCCTGGCCACCTCCGCTTCGGTCACTTTGTGCGAAAAGCGCTCAAAACAAAGTGTGGATCTCTCAYGTCTCCCGAAGCTGTGGAAAAGGCTCCTAACTTCGTCCCCAAACGGGACAACGCTGCAGAGGAGCGTGGAGCCGCTTTCCCGGGATCGCGGCGCTGCCGGTGGTTGGCCGGGGAAGCCCCACCGGTGCGGAGGTGAGGGAGGCGGCCCGGGCTCCCGGGGCTCCCGCGGCCCCGCCGGAGGGAGGCGGCGGCGCTGGGCAGTCCCGGCCGGGCGGGGCGGCAGGTGGCGGGAGCCGGGGCGGCGGGGCCGGCCCTGAAAGGTGCGATTGTCCCCAGCTATTCCTGGTATGCGCCGAGGCGGGAGACGCCGGGGGCGGCCTCACCGGCCGGGAGAGCGAGGGGCGCCGCGTCCCGGCGGGAGGGAGCCGCCACCGCCGCGGGGGTGCGGCCCCTCCCGGGCGACCGCCTGCCCCGGGGGTCCCGGCRCTGCCACACGGCCCGCGGCTCTGCGGATTCCTGCGGCCGCGGAGCGCCAGCGAGCTCCCGGGAGGGGGAGTTCCGCGGGGAGGAGGCGGAGGGGGAGGAGACGGCGCGGGGAGCGTTTAAAGGAGGCAGCTGAATGACAGCGGCCGCTCCCGCGCCCCCGCCCCGCCGAGCACCGGCCGCCCCCCGCTCGCTCGCTGCTGGCCATGGACGGGAGAGAGGACGCGGACTGCGATTTCCAGGCGGCGTTCGCCGAAGCCCGGCGATGGGTGGAGGTGAGGCGTCTCTCGGTCCTGCTGGGTGCCGGCCCCCCGTTATCCCCCGGTCCGTGCCCGAGGCCGGGGTCCCGTCGCGGCCCCGCACGGTGAGCGCGCTCCCGCGGGACTGCCCCGCCGACCGGCAGCGGCTCCAGGGACGCGGCCCCAAACTTTGCTTCTTTGTCGGCAGCTGCGGACTGCTATTTTTAGAAAGTATCGTGGCAACTTGCAGCGATCTGTCGGTGCAGTATCGCCACCGCCCCCTCCTCGCARTCCAAATTAAAGGCTGGCTTGGTTGCCCTCCTGTCATTAAGGCTTATAATTTCTTGCCATCTTGTAAATTACTTCTGTAGCGCTTGCTCCGAGACAGCCTGAATTAAAGGMACTCCTTCCTGTCTCGAAAGAGTTCAGGACAGAGAGCAGCCTGAAATTAACACTCATTTTCTTCTCTCCTATTTTTAAACATGATTGTCTGACTGCACACAGCGCTTGACGTAAATATCCGTGTTTCTGTATCGTTCCCCCGAGTCACACCGCTGCGGTACGTGCTGAAGCGTGGGGAGGGAGGTTGCTCCTGGGTGTACCTGAGTGTGACCAGGGCAGCATCTGTTGAGTGAGCGAGGCTGATGCCGAGCAAGCTGGGAAATATTAGGAATACTGAATAGCCTCCCTTAGAGTCGTTGTGCGCTTTTAAAGAGGAGCTTTAAAGTGCTGGTTTAAATGTACTTTAACATATTTAGCTTATTTCTTTGTGTTTGTTCACTTAGGATGAAACTTAATTTGTCAGAACCACTATCGCAGTAACTTTGGAAGGASAAAATATTTTAAAAAAGGATGTTTGTTACTTTTTACCCCTCATCTTTATAAGCTTGTCAAGACCTGAGTTCAGGTTTCTTTGTTTCCTCTGTAAAACAATGACAYCTAGTGCTTAAAATCTGTTGAGAATGTTGAACTGAGAGCACCAAAAGCAAGGGTATCGCAAATGACCTTTCCAAGTGTCAGTTTTGTGTCCTCTGTGAATGTAAGTAATTAAAGCAGTCCTGGCTTCCCCATGTGTCAATTTTGTGAGAGCTAGCTGTGAGTTAAGTAATTAAAGCATTCCTCTCTCATGTATACCTTTCTTGCATTGCTTTCTTTAAATTGGCAAAGCTTACTTTAAATAGCTTCATTAAGGTGATGTAATGTTGTATTTGAAAATCCTATTTTAAGGGTTTGGGAATTTGTTTTAATTATTATTAAATTTTGTATGATGCTGGTTGGTCATACCATTTCTACAAAAGGTTTTGTGTCTTTGCCTGCCAGTAGCACATGGGAGCACTAGCAAAGTGATGTGTGAGTGTGAAGTGTACATAGAGGAGAAAATCATATGCTCAACTTCCCCCCTTCCCAATGTAGTTTGTGTGGCTATCCTTTGATATGTGAAAGCTGTTCTCATTTTAAAGTAACTTTTAAACTTACCCCTTGGAGAAACACTTTATTGTAAAGTGAGCAACTTGCAAACCTTAAGGTATTGATAAACAGGATGTTAGGGATTCCATATGTTAAAGGAAAATGTAAATATTTATTTCCCTAAGAAATGAGGTTTGCATTTCAGAAGAACCGTTGTGTTTCTCTACTCTTTACATCCAGATGGATTAAAAGGCCAGGACTAACTATTTCCGTTGTTGTATGGAAGAATAATGGTATTTTTAGGGTAATGAGACATGTCGCAAGGTTTTATGAATCTTGGTGAAACAAAGTGATGTATACATGATTGAGAATGGAACTTGGTAAGTCGTAATGATTAAACAATTAGATTTGAAGATGAGGCAGATTTCCAAATATTTATGAACTTGAACTTCTGATGTTTTGGTAAGGTTTTGTGTACCAGCTTCTCCCTAACATTAGAGGAAGATGAAAGGATACAGGCACTAGCTACTATATATTTAAAAGAACAAGCCAAAATGTATTTGTAAACTGTTACTCTTTCTGTTTGCTAATGAAAGCTGTGTTAACATATTTCTGTATTTCAGTTGAGGACTCTTTGGACTCTGAGACTTAAAAAACCTCCAGCCTTGAAGCTTTTTAGTAACGGGAATGAGCAGCTGTATTTGTTAAATCKCAAGCGGTGTAAAAAATACCGCAAAACAATTTAAAAAAAAATCACCCCTATGTTTTTGAAGTTCTGGGTGAGAGAAAACTGTGTTCTGGTCAGGTTTCTCCTCTGCCTGTTCCCACCCGAATTCTCCATGCTGTAGGGGTGCYACTGGCTCATGGGAGCTCAAACAATTGTTCTTAATTCTTATGCTACAGGAAAACCCCTAAACCAAGTAGACCCCATTGTCACCCACCCACCCAAACCTGCAAATGACCCAAACCCAAAAAAAACGAAGAATTTGATTAAGAATAATAACAACCAAAGAATTGCATCTGATATATGGTATTACTTAAAGAAAGACTTTGTTCTTTATTTCAGGTTCATGTTGAGGCACAGTTTATGATAATGCAGACAAAGGCAGGTCTGTAGTCTTCACAGTGCAAAGATCTCTAAAAGTATAGTCCCCAACCTCTTGTGTTTCATGTGTTGGGAATTGGGAGGGGATGTTTCTTGTCTCAGTTAGACTAGCTGGAGTTGCTGGGGCACAGGCCGTTGAGGATGTCTGCTTCTTTGGGGGAAAGAATGGTCATTTTCTGCGCAAAACTCAAGCACTTCTCAGGCAAAACTCAAGTGCTTCTAGAGAACCCAGTCCTGGTTGTTAGCTTCTTGCATCTGAGACTTTTGATGCCTTCTGAGCTCTGCCTGGAGCAGCTGGTGCTGGTCAAACTCACGTGAAGCCCAACCTTCACTTGGCACCTCAGCTGGGCAGATGAGAATGAAACACTGGAGTACCGCAACTTGGGTATGGTTTATCAAAGAAGAAAAGACCAAGGAGAGACCTCATCATGGTCTACAACTTTCTCATGAGGGGAAATGGAGGTCAGGCACTGATTTCTCTCTAGTGACCAGTGATGGGGCCCCAGAGAATAGCATGACTTTGTGTCAGGAGGGTTTAGGCTGGATATCAAGGAAAGGTTCTTGACCCAAAGGTGGTTCAACACTAGAACAAGCTCCCCAGGGAGGTGGTCACAGCACCAGCCTGACAGAGTTCAGGAAGTGTTGGGACAATACTCTCAGGCACATGGTGTGACTCTTGAGGCTGTCCTGTGCAGGGTCAGGAGCTGGACTCAATCCTRGTGGGTCACTTCCCGCTCAGGATTTTCTCTCCTTCTATGAAAGGTAGCGCTGTGCTTGCCAAAGCTAGAAATAGCTGGGTTAAAATAGTTTTACTGTGTTCTGTTCCATATTATAACTTAAGTGAGCCAAATGCTGTTCCTCCAAACCAAAGCATTMTTCCCCCAGCTATTAAATATCCCAGACTGCCGAGTCTGTTTTCCTGCCTCAAGATGTGGGAGGGCAGTCTGCCTCTCAATTTCTGCAGTCCACCATGAAGTTCACCCTTGTGAATGAGGGGGAGACACAGTCACTCTCCCCCAGCACGTGCTTCACTGTTTTAGGAGTGGTGCCCCTTGAAGCATTCAAGAGGAAAGAAGTGTGTGCCGTTTTCTTGTAAAGTGTCTCAGCTTTTGATTCCTCTTCTGTGTTTTAAATGAATTCTAATCTTCTGGTAAATGTCTATGGTTTGAAATTGTTTGCTAAAGCAACTTGAAACCTGACCCACAAAGTCTGTAAATCTTTAGTTAAAGTGCCTTGAGGCAAATAATGCTTGAATTTTTTTTCCCCTGAAGTAGTCAAATGCACAGATCCAGTCTGCGGGAGGGTGGCCAGTGAGCGTGTGCCTGAATGAATTGTTGGAGTGAAGCACCAAAGCTGGAGGAAAGCATGTGGAGCAATTTCAACAAATCCACTGAAGTGAAAAGTGGGTATTTGGCCAAGTAACTATTAATATTGCAAATTATTGCAGCTCTTCTTGTGAGCTGAATTTCTTTCTGTAATAAATCCTATGGAGCTGTAGTTCTGAGAGCTACTAATTTAATCTGAGATCTTTGTTGAKAGTGTCAGTCTCAGAGTCAGAATCAGGACCCTGGAATTCTGGAATTGCTCCTCATTCAGGGACACTGTAGCAGAAGTCCTTCCTGGTGCTAACACTGCCCAGTGATGATGGGCAGTGGTGTTTCACCCTGAGGATTTCTACAGCAAGATAAGGTTTTTAGTATTTTTGATAGTGTTGGCAGAGGAAAACCCAGCTTATCGGGATGGCAACTAAAAATATCTCTGCTGCTCATGTCTGTCATGACCATTAAATGGGTAGGGAAATTGCCTAATTATTTTGAATGCTGTTGTGTATTGACAGTTGCATGCATTATTGCATTAGAGTAATCTTGGAAAATTATTTGGGGCCTTTTTTTTTTTTTTTTTTTTTTTTTTTTTTTTTTTTTTTTTTTTTTTTTTCCAGGAAAAAAAACAAATTTGTGTATACATGCATGCACCCCCTGCCCCTACCCTCTCAAACCTACTCAGAAGATTGAAAAAGCAGATTTGCAAAGTAACTTGGTAGAAAGAGTCTGCTTGAGGATAAAACTTGAGAACCAAGACAACTTATTGAAATCTTTTGGTTTGGACCAACAGTGCAGCAATCAAATCCAGGGAATGGTCTCTGACATGTGGTCACCAAATGTTTCTTTTTTTTGAAGCTGTTCAAAGTTTGCATTTCTACTGTATATTTTTATGGCTTCTGCAAATGCAGAAAGGATCTAGCAGTGATGTTTTCCCTGCATTTGCATAGAGATCTTACCTCAGTGATTATTTTGTCTTGCTTCTCCCCAAGCATTAATCTAATGCATACAGTCTGATATGGGAAGAATAACTGTAGAGATAGAAGACTAATTTCACTGTTCAAATCCTCTTCTTGTAGGTACCTTTATTTAAGTTGAACTAATCAGTATGAAAAAAAAAATTCTTAGTTCTGGGTAATGTATTCTTGGAGAGTCTGTAGAGAGTCAGTCAATATCCTGAATAGTGACAGAATTAAAGATGTGTC